AAGGGTAAACCGTGGGGGAGTCTCCAACACAGAGGTACCCAGGACTCCCTGGGCTCTCCGATTTAAGTGACTGAACACTGGAGATGGCATCTTAGGACAAGAGCATGGTTGTACCCATTATATAGGTGGCAAAACTAAGACTCAGGGACTTATGGCTAATACCACTCATCTAGCATGAGACATTTCCTCAAAAACTTCAACTTTGAGAAAATGCTACAAGGACTTTGGAGGTAAGTAGAGAATTAGAGGTAGCTGAGAGGAAGAAGTTAGAGAAAGCAAGGGAGCTTAACGCCTTCCCTGCTGTAACCCACATTAAGCTAAGCTAGGGTTCACAGAGGGAACATTTTTACAAAAGAGGGGAGGACACCACCAATTTCTTTTTGATTGACCAAAGATGAAAAATGCTGGGGCCAGGAGATGGCTCAGTAGAATAAGCTCTTCCCTGGCAAGCGCAAGGGCCTGAATTCAATCCCCAGCACCAACCCCCCCCCAAAAAAAAAAGAAAGAAAAATGCTTATAAATGATTTAGCTGTAAGCTAGACACGGTGGCACACACCCCTAGTGTAGTACTCAGGAGGCTAAAGCAGGAGGATCACAAGTTTGAAGCAAGCCAGGTACATTTGCAAGACCTTGTCTCAAAATTTAAAAAAATTAAAAGGAATATACAGCACTTGTAGTCAAGTCCCTGGCTTCAGTCCGCAGTACAACAGCAAAAACAAGAGGCCAAAAAGGAAAGGCAGGGCTGGGGAGATGGCTCAGTAGAATAGGTGCTTCCCTGGCAAGCACAAGGGCCTGAGTTCAATCCCCAGTTCCGCAAAAAAAAAAAAAGGAAAGGCAAGGCAAGGGGGGTGCACACCTGTAAGCCCAACACTCAGGAGGCTGAGGCAGGAGGATTCTTGTGAGTTCCACACCAGCCTGGGCTACAAAGTGAGTGCAAGGCCAGCCTGAACTGCATAGTGAGATCTTGTCTTAAAAAGACAACAAAACGAAAGGCCAGCTGCTGCCCTTCCATTTCTAGACTTAGATTTTGAGAGCTCCCTTCTCTGGCCTCTAGGCTTTCAGGGACAGGCACTCAGCATACAGTATCCGCAACAGGCACTCACAGCTAGACCAAATGAATGAATATGGATGACCAGGTGCTCACACCCTAGCTGCTCCAAGTATTTGGTCATCAAATATGAATCAATCCAACAAGCCGTATTATCACACATCACCAGGCATGGTGGTGCACACCTGTAATCCCAGCACTCAGGAGGCTGAGCCAGGAGGATCGGTGAGCGTTGGAGGCCAGCCTGGGCTACATGGCAAGTTCAAGGCTTGTCTGAGCTTCATGGCAAGACACTGTATCAACCATCCACCCCCAGAAAAAAAGCAACAAAAAAACCCCCCATAGTATCACATATCATGCAGATGAGGAAACAGAGTTTCACAGAGGACTTCCCCGATGTTACATAACTAGTAGCTGAAATTAGGACCTGGGTTGTTCCAGTCCTTGCTTACTGTGAACTACCTAACGGGGGCGTACTGACTTCATTTCCTCCTCAGAAAGCCTCCTGCTGTGCTGAAAGGAGAGAGGGGTGAGACACAGGAGAAAGCCCGAAAAGGCCAAGTCTGGGCTGTAACAGGTGCCTCCTGGGGATTTTAGGGTTTTGGCAGCTTGGGAGAGACGCAAGAGCTGATTGCTTCAGCGCCTGCCTATGCTTGGAAGGGACCATGTAACAGACACCAAATGAGGGTTGTGAAAGAAAAGCTTACCCAATAAAAAGCCAGGAGAGTAGGCAGGGATTCCATAGCCACCTGGCGGTATAGAGTAAGGGGCCTTCCCTACATGGCCCTGCCGGGCTGGGACTTCTCCAACTCCTATCCCTCTGGAGACACAAAGGCAAGGGCAGGATGGCCCCCCACTAGTCCCCTCTCCCCGTGCTTATCAGCCCTAGTCACAGATCTGAGTTAACTGGGGAAGTGACATTCTGGAACTGGAGGGGAGAGGGCGGGCATCGGAGAATGTAAACTAATCCCCAAGCAGGTTTCTGTGTTTGCTTTGTTAAAGTCCAGTTTAATTAGGGAGACTGTGCCCTGTTTGCACCAGCTTTCAGCACCTTCTTTAGAAAGGAGGGAAATGGGTGTCTTTAACTACACAGGTGGGCACCTATGAGCTAAGTCACTCCATCAAGCAGCAAAGCTTCACCTCCACAGGCAGGCCCTGTTTGCACAAGTGTAGATGATAGAGAAAGCACAAGCAGGAAACCGTCAGCTCACAAGCCCACCTGTTAGCTTCCCCCACTCCACTCCACATCAGTTTAAAGCTGTGTGCTCTAGGCTGATACCACCGAGACCCCCAAACTTTCACAGCCTGGGTTGCCCAAACCTTTCACAGCCTGTGCCAAGGAAAGGAAAATAATCAGCAATTTTAAAAATCAGCTTGCACTTAATTTTTAATATTCTCTATTCCATAAACTATAGAGAAACCAGAGGAAGACACACATGGCTGAGACTGTCGGGTCCATTTCAAAGTGCATCGAAATGACCCCAGCAAACCACCCCCAAAGTCCTCTCAGTGTGGTTGAAACCCTATTTTGAATACTTCAGTCACTCATAATATGTTCCTTTTCTAGGGGCACTAGAAGGTGAGCCCAGGGGCACACTCCCACGAAGTTACAAGCCTGGCCCTTTTTATTTTGAGACAAAGTCTGGCTAAGACTCAGATGGTCTTTGTGATCCTCCTGCCTCAGCTTCCTAAGCAGCTGGGATTTCAGGCATGCAACATATACTTCTTGATGTCTGTTTTTAAACCTGATGCTAATGTTACACTCTCTTCATTTTCTCAAACTATATCTGAAGAGAGGAAGTCCACCTTCCTAAACCTTGACCATTTTATGAAGTCACAAGGCCAGTTCCTGAGGCTAGTGTATGATTTCAGCAGAGCATAGTCCTGCGGCGATCCCAGTTGAATGGCAGGCAATGTTTAGTGGGGATGGATGGTCTATGGATACAAAGAGAAACCAACCACCTAAGAACGGTGTGCAGTGTGTGGTCACCTCCACTGAAACTGTCAATCGTGCGGTCCCTCCGGTCCCACCTTAGCCACTTCTTCTCCACGGTCACAGTTTGCTCTGTGGGGTCCCCTATCAATGCTGCTGTCCCAAGTCTACTTAGAAATGGACACTGACTCCTCAAACACCCTCTTTCTGTCCTTTTCCTTTCTTTTTAAATATTACTATTTGACAAAGAGAAAGAAAAACAAATGCAAACCTTTTGGTGAGTCAGATCATAATTGTCTATGCCTTGGTTTCCACAAACCCAAGTTAGACCCTTAGGGGACAAATAATTTTTTTTTCTTTTGTGGAACTGGGGATTGAACTCAGGACCCTGTGCTTGCCTGGGAAGCGCTTATTCCATTGAGCCATCTCCCCAGCCCAAAAACCTTCTTATGGTAGAGCAAGCAACTGGTTAGCATACAGGAGGCCCCGAGTTTGATGTCTACTACTGTAAAATTAAAAAAAAAACAAAACTTTTTAATAAAACTAACCCTAAGCTATACCCTGGGTACTATGGAACATCCTGGTGCGGTACACAAGGTCATCGATCCAGGCTTGTACCAGGACGCCTCACAGTCATGGTCTCTCTTTCCCATTTCTAACCTTTGCCCTACTCTTCCAGGTAGGGTCAAGTTTGCCTTCAGGAACCAGGCCTCCCTGCCCACTGACTCCCCTTAGAACACTCCAGGCCACACCACCCTTTACACCTCACTGCCCTTGTCCCACAGGGCCTTCCTTCTAAGGAGGTCCTGGGACACACTGCAACCTGCTAAAACTTGCAATTCCAGGAGGGCAGGGCCGGAATGTCCCTATCTGTCACTGTATCTCGCTTTACTCCTGGGACAGCCCATGCAGAACACCAGGTGGGAGACTGACTAATCACTCCAACCTGGAGCGGTCAACACTGCCCTGCTGGTGCCACAGAGCACCCCCGCAGAACACAGCTGGGTCGCAGAAAAGCAAACACGGTTAATCAGTCAGACTACAGTTTCTCTGTAACACACTGCCCATTGTTGGAACAACTTCCAAAGTCAAAACCAAACTTGAAACAGCAGCGTGATTGCTGCATTTTTCATGTGGCCAAAAGAATATGAGAATAAGCACAGTAGAAGTATTTTCTCGGGGGAATCATGGATGATTTCTCTTTTTAAAAAGTATTTCTTTTATCCTTAATGCTACTTGCCCAATCAACTAAAATCATGAGGGAGGGGAAAGTGGTTTGATACAAAGCAAGCACCTGGAATTAGAGAAACCTGAAAAGAGACCAGCCCCATTCCCTCACTCCCTAGGGCTGGGCAATACTGAAGTTAAACAAAGCCAACTGGATTTCACACTGATAAGCCTGAAATCTATCGGGTGTTAGGTATATTTTCAAGCCTTGAGTCCCAGCTTCTACGCTTCTAAAAATAAGTCATTATCACTGAGGGAACAGCACCTGTACCAAAATATTCTCACCCCATGAACAAAAGCCACAGCCTGGGTATCCCAGAGCTTCTCCCTAATCATATTCCCAGAAGGTGCACAACGGGCCTGGGAGGGCCTGGGAGTTGGAGCCCTGCACACTCCTGCTCTGCTGACCCTGATGAGTGGGGTCATCCTCTAAGCCTCAGTTTGCTCATCTGTGAAAGGGGAGCATTCCTGTCCCACTGTCCCGCCCAGCAGGTTTTTGCAGTCTGAATGATAGGTTGTCTCTAGCACTCAGAACAATGAGAAATACAGTGCTGATGGCCCCTCTGCACCCCGTCCTTTTGCCCCTTTACAACACAGCTGGAGCTGGCCGGTTCCACCACTATGCTCAGCCATAGTAACACTGTAGACCCTTAAATATATATGCGTAAATTACAAGGGTGTCGTTCTACCAAGGTGGGAGGATGTGGGTGCTCATTCCAACCCAGGGTTGCCGAAGCACAATTTGTGGGTCGCCTCTCTGCCCCACCCCGAGACACCAGCGGCACCCCTCACCTCTGCCCAGGACGCGGCCTCTCTCTAGGTGCCACCGGGGCACAGTAAAAGTGTAGCTCTCGGCATCGAAGCCGGAGTGACAGGGCTCCTCCGGTTCCTGGCAGAGGCACGGTGAAATCTAGGGTAGAGGAAAGGTACAGAACAGGGTGAGTTGGGGGGTTTACTCCAACGCACACCGAAACCGACAGCGCCGCCTCTCCCTCGCTCGGGGCGTCTGGATGTGGGGAGAATCCCCACCCCGGACAGGCAGCGACGTCATCTTCTCCCTCCCCGAAACCCGCTTGCAGTCCCCCCACGGAGTCCCGGGACTGGACTCGCTGGCCCACCTTCCCTTCCTGTCGCCTTTTTCATTTTATTGGAGACTTTTTACTCTTTCTGACACCACTTTCCCACCGTCCTAGACCAGGAACCTTCAGTCCTATTTCCTCATTCCCAGGGCGCTCGGATCCCTTCCACTCCTCTTTCTCACCCAAGGGCGGCCCCATTCCTACCTACCACCCTTTCTTTACCTGGCAGGTGACTTTATTCCTATACCCGCGCCCCTCCCTTTACTTCTAGGATCGTCCCTGCCACTCCTGACTGTTTCTACTTGTACCCAAGCCCACAGGGCGGCAGAGCCCCCGAGTCTGCAGCAAGGCCCCCCACGGGGGCATTTGCTGAAAGGGGCCGCGCTCCCCCATCCCACTCGCAGACTAGAGCGACACAGTCCAGAGCGCAGCGCACTTTCCAGGACGTCCTAGCCCATCCGACCCAAACTTTCTTCAAAGAAGGGAAGCGAGGACAGGAGAGGAGAGGCGCGGGCCGGGTGCAGATCCTGGGGCTGGAAGGCGTCGGCAAGCCCGGAAACCTCACGTACCCGGAGCAGCAGCAGGAGCGCGGAGAGACTGCGGTATAAAGGGCCCATGGCGCGCCGGGCGGAGGCCGAGGGAAGGCAGGTGGCCAGGCCGGGCTGGGCTAGAGCCTGCGCGACGCTCGTAAACCTACAGGTGCTCCACAGATCTCAAAGCCACTGAGCTACTTGGGATAACTGCAGCCAGGTGAGGCGCGAAGGCACCGCCCCCGGCGTCGACGATTGGCCGCAGACGCACCTAGACCTGCAGCCAATGAAGGGCGCTGCGCGGCCCTCGGCGTCCTCCACCCGCCCAGAGCCTGCGGCCCAGCCGCGGCTCCGCCCCCGGCCTCTCGCAGAACCCGGACCCACAGGTCGGGAAACCGCACGGTCCGCTCACTATTCCTGTGCCACCACGTTGATTCCCAGCCCCGCGGAGGACCACTGAGAGGTGAGGTCAGAAAGGACTTTATCCTCCTCCCTGCTGCACCGCCCCTCCTCCAGCCCCCTTCCCCTCTCCTCTCCTCTTCTCTGTCCTAGTGAGACACTCATACAACTGACAAGGGTAACGTTCCTGGAGCCACAACAGCTCTGTGTATATGTGAAGGGCAGTAACAGTAAAAGCAGGTGTTGGGTGTGGAAGGTTACCGTGCCAGGTTTCGTGCCAAGCATTTGACGTCGACCCGCTCCTCTAATCTCATTCAAAATAAGGAGAAGGGCCGGGGAGATAGCTCAGTAGGATAGGCGCTTGACTGGCAAACGCAAGG